TGTCACTAATTATAAATTTTGGCGACAGTTTAAAAAAGTCACTAATTTTTAACATTCAGCGAGAATTTAAAAAATGTCACAGAAAAACGTCACTAATTATAAGTCTTAGTGACAATTGATTAAAACCGTAATAAAAAAAGTCACTAATTGTCAATTTTTAGCGACATGTAAAAAATCGTGACAAAAAATTATTTTTATCGACGATTGTAATAAGACTTATTTTCAATAGGACTTAATGAAAAATTAAATCCAACTATTAGGACCTATTGGTAGTTTATCCTAATATTTAAATTATAACGTGCACAATGTTATAAGCACAAAAATAAAGATTTATTAACTTATTTAATTGGTTACTTAATAAAACTAATATTTAAACAAAAAATAATATATAAAGACTTAGGTGTGTATATGGAATCCTATTAATAGAAATTAAAATCAAAATGTAAAATTTGTAGACTAAAATAAATTGTTTTAATTTTGATTAGAAGAAAAATGCAAAATCGATTGATGTAGGATTCTTCAATTTTAGCTATATTTCATAAATTCACTTGTGCCAAGAGAGTTAGGCCTATATTAATGAGGTGTAACAAATTAAAAATTTACTCACATTATTGTAGGTCAAGTTCTGAAAGTTTTTGTGAGTCTTAAACATTTTCCTTCTATAAATATAACACTTAATTTCATAATAAATAAGTAAATTGAGTGAGTCAACCTAATATTCTTATGATGTACTATTTCAAAAATTTATAATTATATACAGGGCTAAGTAGATGTTGCATAAAAGAAGAAAGAGCTAAGCACTACACCATAACTCGTGTATAATTTATTTTTTTTTTTGTGACAAACTCATGTATGATTAAAATTACAAAAATCACATTATATTATGCTTTTGTTTCCAAGCCAATGAAATCATGAAGAAATTTTGGCAACATCCCCAAAAAACAACATTTAATACTTAAAATTAAAGAGGAAAATAAAGAAGAAGAGTAACATATGTACTAAAACAAAAATTCATGAGGAAATATGATAATACAACACTTTATCCTACTTAAGTAGGATAATTTACCTTCCAAGTTAGAAAACTAAGATGCGTTGTAAGAATAATCTAAACACAAATGATAATAAGTTACAACAAAATAAAATAAAATAATTAAAATTTGAACAAAACTCACATGAAAACCGTCATATCGAAATCTTGATAATCACTGTATAATCAAATAGATAACGCTATTGCAAAATTGAAATAAAACCTGCAAAAGTAGAGTGTATAATGTTGTCCTTTTCAAAGAATACAACATTGCTAATGATAGGCATGCCTACATTCTTGTTTTAAAAATAAATAAATAAATAAAACCTAAATTAAGTTCTCAAAATACTCACAAAAGCACAGACCAAAAAAGGAGAAGAAAAAAAAGGAACTTGAAATCTCACACAATCTAAGTGGCACATGGGGAAAAGAAAAAGAAGAAAAAATAGTGGTCTTACCTTGTTGCCCAAAAAAAAAAATCTAAAAAAAAAAGAGATCTGTTTTTTATGGGGGAATGGAAATATGTGATAGAGAAGAGAACCCTAAAAAGGAAGAAGCAATAAGAAAAAGACGACAGGAAGAGTGATGGGAAGTGTTTGGCTAATTAAAGGGAAAAAATGTAAATTATGAGGTGAAGGTAAGGAAAGAGAATGGAAGAATTGTAGGAAAAGAGTAACGACTTTTTTTAGAGAAAAGTTATATAAATGAATGGTGCATCAACTTGAAATCATGCAGACAAGTTCTTGCACAATTAGAGTGATATAAGTGAGGGGGAAAAATAAAAAAATAAAGAAGAGAAGAAGAGTTGTCTTAACTTGTTGCAAAAAAAATAATAATAATAATAACAATAATAAATAAAAAAAATAATAATAACAATAATAAATAAATAACTTCTTCTCATGGATTGGACATTTCTTATGAAGAGAAAACCCAAAGAAACAACTAGCAATAGATGAGAAGGAGGTGTGAATGACAAGAAAGTGTAAATTATGAGGTGAATGAAAGGAAAGAGAATGGAAGTTAACAATGAGTAAAATGTAGTGACTTTTCATCCTCTTGTTTGAGAAAATAATTTTATATTGTGCTTGTTAGGCATTTTATGTGGTTAAGTCATAATTTTAATACTTCAACAGGTTAGACAATACAATGTGTTTTAGAGTATGAATTTTGGTAGAGATTTAAAAAGAAAAAGAAAAAGAAAAAAAAAAGTGTGAAATGTAATTATACTTCATTCACATTTTACTTATCTTTTAATTGGCTAAATATTTTCTTCAAAATCATTGCAATTTACCCCTTCAAATGTTTATTTTGCTAAAAAAATTCATTTTGTATACTATTTTCTCAATTTAGGCTTCTCTCTCATTTATTTGTGGAGTAGATGTAGCATATTTTAATGTTTTCTGATACTCATATATCTGGGGATGTAATAATCGGTTCGGTACAGCCAATATTTAGGTAAAAATTTTCACCCAACCGATAATGTTGGTTTTATTATTTTGAGTACTGACATAGATCGCTTCTCCTATTAAACCACACCGAATCGAACCGATTGAAACTTTTTGGTTCGGTGCGGTTTAATTGATTTAAGACCTTTCAAACTTTAGACCTTTTTAGTATAGCCACTAATCTATGTAAACATATTGAATTAGTTATTTGTCCACTATTTGAAATATATCCAATCCATTCATTTAACAAATATTTTTCAATTCTTAGATTAACAAAAATACAAAACAGAAAATAATAATAAATACTAAGGCTTTAAAAATATTAAGTTAGAGTTAAGATTATATATAATAAAATTTTACTATCTTAAGTTATATAGATGATAAGATTAATTAATTGAGTTGAGGTTAATAATTTATTATTCTTATTAGTACCATTATATTATTGGATTATATAAATTATATATGCAATATATATTGAAGCAGTTGGCTTCAGTCTAGTTTGATGCATGAGGTGCGTAAACTGATATTGAATCGAAAATCGAAAAAAATCAAATTAAAAATCCGCACAAACCGAGTATTGTTAAAAAACAGACCAAATATGACTGATTCAGTCCGGTTCAATCTGTTTGGTCAGTTTTTTATTTTTATTTTTCTTACATCCCTACATATATCTAGTAAATTTACATGCTTAGCTTTAGCTATCAGTCCATAGATGGGGTTATAATTTGAATTTCAAGTTGTTTTGTCTATCTTTGAATTGTGTGTTTTAGTGATGGATTTTGGTTACAACCAGAATGCTATACGTGTACTGCTTCTGTATGTTGCACAAATTGTAGTCCTGCTAAGCATGAGGTTAAATTGTCGTCCTTTTTTGCTGTCATGAGCTGATATCAAATTTGACAAGGATTGTTGCTTCTTTGAACCACGTTTGGGATGATCTAAATAAGTGCATTTTTTGACTTTTTATGAAATATGGGTTGGGTATGGGTTAGGTTTGAAGTGATGTGGTAGAGAGGTGAAGTGACTTAAATAAGATGATGTGACTTAAATAGGATAGTGACCTTTTGACTTTTTTGCTTTTTTAGTGTACCCCAAACCAAGCCTTATCTCAGCCACTGCCTATGCATGCTTTAGGATTATTTAGCTGATGCTGGCTTCTATTGCTGATTTTATGTGTGATTTATTCTGTATGTGTGATTTAGATTTAAACTCATGTTCTCATCTATGATTTGTTGGGTTAACTAAGCACATTGCACATCTTATAATGTAAGTTGTGTATTATAAGGCTACTCCTGGTACACAATTACGGATGGCTAGGGAGAGCTCTGTTAAATGACATAAGAAACAACACTCTGAAAGTGAAACCGCTCATTCATCAAATTCATTGCCTTTGGCTGCTACCGCCAGGGTGGGGCAATGACTCCCTCAAACTTAACCAAACACATGCCTCCTAAGCCAAACCCAGCATCATTACTCTTTGCTGCTGAAAATCATCGCCATGATCATCATTGTAATTTATTTAAGCACGCCTCATAAAGCCAAACCATCACTATAACCATTGTCGCTGGTAGTCACTTCACTGCCATCATCACGGACACAACCATCACCCTCTCTAAACAATTCTCTTTCCTTTCCTTTCTCTCTCTCAAATGTTCTCATCTTTGTACTTTTCTTTCTCAAAAATGCCTTTTTGGTGGCACTTACCCCTATTCTTTCTCTCTCTCTAAAACTGTCATCTGATTGCACTTTTAACCAAACCCCTCTTCTCCCTCTCTAGAAATAATCACTATTGCACAATGTAAACAGTGTTTACAAGGTGGCATAGAGCATTTCAAGAAAAATATTGGAGTTTTATGTGTAGTTTTTGGTTATTTTAAATCAATAAATATGCTTGCTTAGTGAATGTTAAGCATCTGACATGGGTATGACATATATTTAGAAGGGTCCATGTAATATAGGTTGTGTCACATGCAAACTTTTATGCGGACATGCTTTCGCCACCTGGATTGTCAAGCTGAGGCTTGGAAGTTTATTACAAGATTTAAAAATAACTGCTAACCCGGTGGGGAACTCGATTATTTATTAATTAATTGATAACCTGCCCCGCCTCACTTTTACTTGGAATTGGGACTGGGTCGGGGTAAGGTTTCTATTGAATAAATGGGGGCCAAGAAGGGTAACTTGTACTGAGCCCGTGCCTTTGCCATCCCTGCATAAAACTGATGGTTGCAGACATTATGTGCTCTGTACAGATTCAGATGCTTGACAGCATGAGATTTAGGATTTAAGACTGCTCAATCAGTTGGGCTTTTTTGTGAACACCAATTAAGTGACCTAGAATACAATTTTATCAGATAAGCAAAAAAAATGGCAATTGAAAACTAAGAATCTGCTGAACGTGTCTTGCCAATTCATTGAAAGTTTGTGTGAATAGCAGCACTACTTTTTTTAATGTTTTATGCCATGTTTGGTTTACTATGTAGCTTATTTGTGCGTGAAAGTATTATTAAATACCTTTCTCTACGTAGGTTGACATTATTGGCGTGGGTTGCTATTCTTCCAAGGATTTGTGGACTTGGAAAAACGAGGGCATTGTTTTGGCTGCAGAAGAAACAGACAAGACCCATGATCTACACAAATCCAACGTGCTTGAGAGGCCCAAAGTAATTTACAATGAAAAAACCGGTAAATATGTCATGTGGATGCATATTGATGATGCCAACTACACCAAAGCCTCGGTGGGCGTTGCCGTGAGTGATTCCCCCACCGGTCCTTTCAATTATCTCTACAGAAAACGGCCCCACGGGTTCGATAGCCGGGACATGACGATCTTCAAAGATGACGACGGTGTAGCCTATCTCATCTACTCCACAGAGGACAATAGTGAACTTCATATCGGTCCACTCGATCAAGATTACCTCAACGTGACACGTGTCATGAGAAGGATTCTTGTGGGTCAACACCGAGAAGCCCCGGCTCTGTTCAAGTATCAGGGGACTTACTACATGATCACATCAGGCTGCTCTGGTTGGGCCCCTAATCAGGCACTGGCTCATGCAGCCGAATCAATCTTGGGGCTGTGGGAGACAATGGGGAACCCGTGCATTGGGGGTAACAAAATTTTTCGACACACAACATTCTTTTCTCAGAGCACGTTTGTACTTCCTTTGCCAAGCCTTCCTGGTTCTTTTATATTCATGGCAGATCGGTGGAACCCAGTTGACTTGAGGGACTCAAGATATGTATGGTTGCCTTTGACGGTGAGGGGCGCAGCGGACCGGCCTCTTGACTACAATTTTGGGTTCCCATTGTGGTCAAGAGTGTCGATATATTGGCATAAAAAATGGAGGCTTCCTTATAGGTGGAGTGTGAAGAAATGATGTATGTGAATCAAGCTCTATTGTTGGCCGTGAAGATCTCTTTTTGTAGGTCATGTTAATATTTGTTCTTGAGGAAGGTTAAGTGTATATGGAGAAGGATTACATATTTGCTTGAAGAATTACACTGTTTTCGCAAAATGTTTTCTTTGATGGATTATGCGGATAAATGGCTATGATGTGCAACCGATGCTCCAACCCCTCACCCAGAAAGCATGAAAGAGATCACAAATGTTGTGAGTTGGAGAAACCATTGGTTCATGGTGGCCACGCCTTGACTGAGTTTGTTTGGAGTTGGGAGATGGCATGACTAACACGCTTGGTTATTACATTCGAATTGGTCTATTGAATTTGAATCTGATTTGAGGTATGTTTTCTGTGAATCTGAAGCAAATTATTGTGCATAGGAGTTTTGTGTGTTTATAGGTGTAATTTATATGGAAGAATTTGTAATTTCATTAGATAACAAAGAACATTTAGTGTTTGGTAACGTTTACGTTTTTTTTTGTTTATGTTTACAAAAATTTTATAAATTGATTTTTGTTTATTTTTAGAAAAACATAAACTACAAATGCATTTGGTTTGAACAAAATATTTGAAATTTTTTAAAAACATAAATTAAAAAATATGTTTGTTTAGGCTTAAAATATTTATATTTATTATTTATGACAATGGGATCATACACATTATAATTGAAAAAAAAATTAATTAAAAAAATTAATTGAAAAAAAAATTATTTAAAAGGAAAATTATTTGAAAAAAAAAATTATTTGGAAAAAAAAATTTTGTTAGTCAAATTTTTAAATTTTTGTTTAAAAACCAACGTAATGAGTTTACATTTTTTTTCTTAAATTTATAAACTGAGACAATCATTTATAAACCAAAAAATTATCAAACAAGTTTTTATGACTGTTTTTTAAAATTTTTGCAAATATAAACTGAAAACGAAATGTTACCAAACAGATTAATTGAAAAAAAAATTATTTAAAAGGAAAATTATTTGAAAAAAAAAATTTATTTGGAAAAAAAAATTTTGTTAGTCAAATTTTTAAATTTTTGTTTAAAAACCAACGTAATGAGTTTACATTTTTTTTCTTAAATTTATAAACTGAGACAATTATTTATAAATCAAAAAAATTATCAAACAAGTTTTTATGACTTTTTTTTAAATTTTTGTAAATATAAATTAAAAACGAAATGTTACCAAACAGACCTTATCTTTTAAGATCATTTCAGACAAATATGAAGGAATAGGAATGTGGTTAAATCACTAAAAAAAAATTGTAATCTTTTTTTATTTTTTATTTTTTATTTTTGTAGAATTCAAAGTGGAATTTTCTGTCTGTTTGGGTTTGTAGAATAAACATAAATTTAAACTTTGGTAAATGATGATTGAAATTGATCTAATGCCTTGTATCTCATCTGGTCCCAGAATCATTCGTTTATCTGTGACAGAATAAGACAGTGAACCAATCATAATTCTAAAGGAGTGGTTAAGTAAGAAAATATTATATCTAGGTCCGTTTAGGTTTTTGCAATACAAAATTGGATATTATACAACTAAATAATGATTGTGGAAATGAATAAATTGATCAACTAGTCAAACCCTCATTGTTTATTTGTATTATTATGTTTGGCATAAGTGATGAAATCAATGGATTTGGAAGCATTTTTTGTGGGTTTAGAATGTAGGTAGGTGGCTGTGGGGCAGGTTTGATCTAGTTTCTACACTGAATTTTAGTTCAAGCAGCCCAGCTTCATTAGGCATATATCTAAAAACATCTAATTCCTATATTCTCTGGAATTGTTTGATATCATTTATGTTTATACTTTTTTGTTTATATTTATAAATAACAACGCTCAATTAGTACACATTAATATATATTTGAAGAACGTAAACAAAATATCATTTGGTGTTTATTTTTATTTTTTCAAAAATTTGTGACGAGTTTACAAAATTTACTAAATTTTTATAATAACAAAAAAAGAAAAAAGAAAAAAAACTTTTTTTTCTTCTACCACTCCTTTGACTATCACCCATTACCACCCACTATCACGGATGACCACTTTCGGTCACCATCTCCCGATTGGCAAATATCTCTCACCAGCAATAATCACTTTTGGCTATCACTTCTTGTCAGAAATTACATTTGGTCATAACATCTGACAATTGACAACCACCTTTGATTACCATCTCCGACTACTGGTAGTCACCTTCGAACACCTCAACTACCTCCCACTGACAAGAACTATCTCTTGTTGGAAACCATCTTTAGCCACCGACAGCCACCTTGAGTCATCTCTCTATCTTCAAAATAAGTTTTTAAAGTACATACCAAACATTTTTTTGCATTTAGTTTTGCCAAAAATAAATACTATATAAACATGTTTGGTATTTTATGTAAACAAAAAATTATAAAATTATAAATGTTTTGAAAATCCATCATAATAATTTATTTAATGTATATATATGTCATTTTTCCCCTCAATTGTAAGTAAATAGTGCATTATACACTCTGATATATATAGTTTTTTAAATTAAAAAATAAAAAATCATAATATAATTCTCATAAAACTACACCAAACCAAACCAAACCGGTCGTCTAACGCTAGACTATAGGACAGCTGGGCCAGGGTTAACTTGGAAGACACTGTGTGTCAATATATATATATATTTTTTGTTTTTTGTTTTAATCTTTTTGAATGAAATGTCAAGATGCTGCTAAAGTAAGATGTTTACAGGGAAGTCTATTTATTTCTAGTCAACTGTCCAAAAAACTAAAGTTATTTTGGACTCTAAATAAAAGGAATAATTTTATTTATTTACAACTATGACCTTATTTAAAAGGGTAAAAGAAAAAGAAAGGCCTTTTAATTATTTTAGATTAGTCACTAACTGTGAATTGAATAATTTTACATCTTTACGATGTAGCCCGTGTTTCACGAGTCATTTTGCTAGCTTGTTTGATATATTATTTTTGTTTCTAAAAAGTGAAATTGATTTTAAAATTCTTTTAAAAAAAGAAAAAGAAAAAAAAGTGTTTTACCCTCTCCTCCGATTACCACCCACGGTGGCCGATCACCATCTCCCATGACCCCGACCACCTTTCGATACAAGATTCGTCTTACATAAAAGATCATTTCCCATATTAAAATTTACATCATGTCCCATATCATATTTTGGGTCCACCAAAAATACAAGAAGGTGACATCCCATTGATATATTGCTTTTGAGTTTCAAGCTCATTTGTATTATACACAAAAAAAAAAAAAAAAAAAAAAATCCCTTTTTATAACATAGAACCCATACTGTGAAATCAAAAAAAATTATTAGATACTTTTGAACTAATTTATAATATTGATCATGTAAAATTCTCGATTAATAAAATATTATAATACATATTAAGTGGTCTTTCGAGAACATACCAAAAGAGTCAGTTTTTTAACTTTTTTAACCAAAAAAGCTAGTTTTTTTTACTCAAAAGAACCTAGTTTTTTTGTCAAAAAAGTCACCAAAAAATTTAAAAATTCAAAAAGTTAATTTTTTATCAATTTCTCAAAACACTCTTAAGTAAATCATTATTTATCTCTTTATTTAATAAATGTGAGTCAGCATGTGTAAAAAAATTTATCATGTGATTGACTTGAATCACCATATAAACAGTCTTGCGTGGATTTCTCCAAAATTATTTATTAGCTATGAAACAAAACTTGGACATTAAATTAATCAATCTCTTAAAAAAAAAAAAAAAAACAAAAAAGCAAAAAATCAAAAGATTCATGAGATAAACTAGAAAAGCAAACGAAATGTACCGGAGAGGTTGGCCATCAAAATGATCAATTCCAACTCCACTTATTGGCAACTTGCATTATATAGGTCCCATGTGAATGTTTGAAGAGAGGACCAGTCATCATCCTCAACATTTGCTCAAATAAAATTCAAAGCTTTAAATTAATCAAAAGTCATGGGCCAACCCTCCCTCCCTCCCTCCCCCCCCCCTTTTTCTCCTTCTCTCCTCCCCCCCTCCCTCTCTCTCTCTCTCTCTCTCTGTGTAAAAACCCATTTTGAAAGCCCACGTAAAGGAGGGAGAGACAGAGAGAGACTGGAAAGGAGTGGGCAGTATGGTTAACGTGGAGGGGGCAAGTCTCATCAAATATGAAACCCTAAAAAGAAGTTCCCACTACCAACACTCTTTCATTTTTATTTTATTTTTTTCTTTTCTTTCTTTTCCTTTAGGTGGACCAAAACCAAAAAGTACCACTTTATTGGCCTTACAACACCACTACTATCACCACGAAAGAGGTTTTTTTTTTTTGTTGTTTTAAAAGCAAGGATTCTCGTTCTGGTGTTTTTATTGAATTAGGATCCTTTCCGTGATCTCTCCTTAACTTCTTATTTGTAGGACTATTGGATCTATTTTTAGATCTAATTTCGATAATTTAAATTGTACATATTTTAAGATTTATTAAATGTATTATACTTGTAAAAAATCAAATTAATTGAATATCAGAAAGTATGTGTTCAGAAAACTATTTATTAAATTTAAAAAAAAAATGATTTGCAATTCGATAATTCGAACATGTAGTTTTTTATATCCGATTAACTTAATTTTTTACAGGTATAATATACTCAACAATTCTTAAAATGTAACGGTTCAGATTATCGAAATTGGGCCCAAAAGTGGGCCCAATAACCCTGTAAGTAAGAAATTAAGGAAAGAGATCAATGAGAGAATCCTAATTCGTTTTTATTAGCCTCCTTTCTCGTAACGATTAAGATTGACTTTAAGAGAATTTAACAACTTAAATGACTTTATTAAAAAAATTAAGTGATTGAACCCATAAATTCTCTTAAAGTAAATCTTAACCTTTGCAAAGAGGTGGCCAAATAAAGAAAGTAAGAAGAAAATCCATATTCGTTTTATTTGAGGTGGTTGTGGGGCCATACAGAATGCTCCGGACGTCCCTCTCTCTCCATCCAATGATCAAACAACACAATAAATTTGAATTTATAAACTTAAAATTTATCCCCAAAAATAAATTATTGGTACAAATTTATTTTATTTATGAATTTTATATTTTATTAATTTAATTTTTATCACACAAATATATTTAAGATAAATTATGAATTGATAAGGATGGACTCATAATAATATTTTTGCTCTCCATCAAGACAAAAACAAGAGCTTTGAAACATATGTTGTATTATTTATATGGTGTTTCCAATCAATAGCGTAGTAACTTTTCATGTTAGATTATTATTGAATATTTTTAAGTTTTATGTGCAAATGGGATTATTTAGTGTAATTTATATCAGTTGTTTAATTATTTTTAGTATTTATATCATATTGTTTGGTATAATTTTTACTTATATTTTACGATAAAATTACACATTGCCCTTTTATGTTTGGCCATTTTTTCACATGATTATTAATGTGTCATTTTTAGTCTAATTTTAGACATGAGTAAGCTTTTGGAGTAAATTGAGGAAAAACTTGAAATATGAACAACTAAGTGGGGAAAAAAAACTTTAAAGACCAAAGTGTGAAAAAGATTAAACATAAATAAAGCAAAGTGTAATTTATCCTACATTTATAAGGTAAAAATAATTTAAATAAGTTAAAAAAAAATTAATTATCTTGAAACGGAAAAAAAAGTGTTTTTTAATTTCTATTTTTTAATTATCAAGTTTTAGCATACAAAAAATTATACCAAACAAGCCCGTTATTGACATAGTATAAGCCTTACAGGTGAGATAATGTTGTTTCACCTGTGTTAAGTAGTTGAGAGACACTAAATAATCCACTTAATATATTTTGTAATTTTTATTTGTCTAAATGTGATGTGATATTTAATAATTACTTAATAATTTTCTTCATTTGTGTTTCTGGGAAAATGATGAAGGGATGAAATTATTTAGTAATCTCGAAATATTATTATTTTATATTATTTACTTGATGCTTTAAATCAATTGAAAATTTTTACAAGGGATATATTAACTCACCTTTTTATGTATTCCATTTGTTTATTAATTAAAAATATCAAATAAATAATATTACATAAGAGCATCTCCAACGGTAAACTAAATTTTTCATTAAATTTGAGTAAAAAAAAGTTAATTTTCTCAATCTGATATGACTTGCTTCAACCGTGCATCAAAAGGGAAGGGTCGACTGGTTGGTCGACCGGTAAGGCCAATTTTTTTTTTTTTTTTTTTTACCTGTTTGAACCTTTTTTGGCCGGTTTGAACCTACCTATTTGAAAGAAACCGGTCGACCGGTGGGGAAACCGGTCGACCGGTGGGTCAACCGGCCGGACAACCAGTTGGTTGACCGGTTGGCCCACCCCAATGGTAACGCATAGTGAAATGGTAAAATTTGGAGTCTATTCTCACTTTGATAAATTTTTTGTTCCATTATTCTCATTTTGATACCAATTTGGTGAAACCATTGGAGCTCTAAAAAGTGACTTTTTTTTTATCAAATTTCAAATCTGATGCAAAGTTTGACGAACCGTTGGAGATGGTCTAATACTTTAAGAATATTTAAAAAAAAATCAAATAAAAGTAAGAAAAAAGAGCATAGGCTCTACACAAGATGTGCAGGCCACTAAGCCCATAATACCCACTAATGACTAAACACCTTTCCATGAGATTCCCCGAACCCAACCCGACTCAGTGGCCGTCCTAAGATTCGATGGTCCCAACCCAGACAACGACCTTCTTAATCAACTCTTAATTAACACTACTTACTTTTGAGCTGATAATGATATTTCATCTCTCAAACACACCTAATTAATACCAACTCCATCTAAGATTTGGACCCATTAATTTAAAATTATAATTTTAAAATTGAGTAAACAAACAGGTATAAATATATACCTAAGAAAAAGACCAGTTCATCAACCTTGAATTATCTGAAATGGATTTGTGTTCATTTTTGTATACTGCTTAGACAAAGATGGATCACCTGCACAAGTCATAAAAAAATTATGGAAGTGACACTAATATCGTGCCGGCTTAAAGTTGTGTAACACTTTTTTAGGTAATAAAAAGTTGTGTAACACTGAAGCTAAGAATAGTTAGTCTTGTATGATAATAAAGTAGAGAGATGTTTAAGTCCTCTGTTAGGGTATTTGATAAGAATAATGCTATATATACTAATGAATAATGTTATATGTACTAATTAATGTACATATTAGTGTACTAACAAATGATATGAAATCATTTGTACAGTTTTGAGTATTTGTAATTTGTATAATAAATGTGGTCAATAATAATATCATAACACTAGTTGGTACACTAGTGTGTACACTAATTGGTGCATGTAGCACCACTGTATACTAATTAATGTATACACTAGTGTACTTACAGATACTGTGACATCATTTGTATGATTTTGGGTATTTGTAACTTATATAATTAATGTGATCAATAATGATATCATAATACTAGTCGGTACACTAATGTATACACCAATTGGTGCATGTAGCACCACCGATTTGATAATATGATTCAATACTTAAAATTGAATGTATTAAGTGATAATTAATTAACTCCGTTTGATAATCATAATTGATATCACTTAAAAATTTAAGTGCCTCTTAAAATATAGATTAAAACTTAAGAAAATTTTATATCATGTGAAACTTACTTAATTCTAATTGAATTTATAAATTTTAAATATAAACATTAGTATACACTATTACAAACTCACTACCACCACCATCATCATGCCGCCACCACCACCGCCACCACTACCACTGTCACCGCCACCACCGCTACCACACTCACACACTACCAGTATCACCACCACCACCGCTATCACTACCACCACCATGCCACTGCCACCACCGCCACCACAATCACTACCGCTACCACCACGACCACCACTACCATGCCCGCCACCGCCACCACCACCACCACCATCATACCATCACCACCACCATTACCACCACTATCACAATATAAAAACTGAAATATATAATTTTAAATAATAAATTTTAAATTTAATCTTATACATATCAAATAATTTATTTTTATTCAGTATTTAAATTTTTATCAAACAACTTTTTAATTTAAAAAATTAAGTATTCAGTTTTCAATATTTAATTTTCAATCTTCAGTTTTCAATTTTTAACTTTATCAAATAGCACCTTATCTCCACAATATTTTCTATTTATTTATTTATTATTATTAATTTTTTAACAATAAAAAGAAATTTTCATTTCTCAAAATGGAGAGTTAATTTTTTTTTTTTTCCATTAAGAACTCCAACAATGCTTCTTTGTTCCCTAAATGTAGAGAGCCAGAATAAAATAATTTATAATAGAAAGTGGGATAGAGAGGTTTTTTTTTTTTTTTAAAAAAAAAAAACTAGAAGTGGGATAGAGAGTTTGTTGAGTGTATTTTGAATATTTGCTAGTCTATTGAAGTTAAGGAAAGAAAATACAAATACTATGGAAGGTGATCTTACATGATGGTTTTTGACATATTTATATAGGAGTCATGAGTTATGAATATTTTTAGTTATTAGTTAATTGTATAATAACATAATGCTCAACGCAATTATAGAGTGATTTGGAAAAAGTAAATTGTTTACGTTTCAAGTTAATTCTTTTTAGTAAATTCAACCAATTTATTTTGATAAACTTATCGGCTCAGCTAAGCTAACCTGATAAAACACTCTACTCTAATTGTATTTATCTTGTGTTGATGGGCTCGACTTCTCTCCACATAATAGTCTCTCCAATTGAATTTCGTTTTAGTGAAAATATCTCTATCAAATTACAAGTGTCAGCTAAAAGGGTCATGTTTTTAGTGTTTGAAATAGTCTAACAAACAAAGACACGACACGACACCACACTTGTAAAAAGAATTTAACAAAATTCAAAATCAAACCAATCTTTTTTTTTTTTTTTTTTTACCATAATAAAACGAAAATAATCACAAATGAGAATATATTACTTCACTTTCCAATATCTAAAACCATTCCAACAAATCCACCCACAAAACTCCACCACCCCACGCACGTGCCAAGAAAATCCACACACGTGTGACCCACCACCATTTGTGGCGGTCACAATCAAGAAGGCCTCCATGCGCTAGCCCACACCACCGGCTGATCCCTCCACACCAAGAACATTCCGGCGATCTCATCGGAACACTGTGTCATTGCCCAACCCTCCTTATACCTCCTCAAGAGAGCCCTCACATCATCACACACTTCATCACTCAACAAAACTGGCCTAAACCCACCACCATGCAGCCTCCTCGACCACCTCGCCGCCGTCTCCCTCCGCTCTATCGACTCCTCCGCCCGACACGCCACCAGGTCCACCACCGCCCTCCCCGCCACCCTTTCCAAAATCAACTTCTCGTTGCTTGTCTTAGGAAAGCTGTCTTCGAGGGACTCCAAGTAAACCCTAAACCATCTCAAACATTGTTGAAATCCATTAACAAAGTCTAATCCATCCACACCCACATCGAGATCGGCTTCTTCTTCGACCACAGTCATAATTCTGGGTTGCAGACTTCGAAACAAAGATATCAAGACGTCACGGCGGTTAACGGAGCGTAGAGCGCCGATACAATTCACGGCGAGAGCTTCGTCATCTTTGATATTCAATTGACCTAAACTCAACTCGGATAGATCGCCGGAGTGGTGTACTACGTTGAACTTAAAAGGAACACCCATGAGTCTAGCGAACTTTTCCATTCTAGTTCCGATCTCTTTCATCACTTTTTGCACCGCCGCCGAGCCGCCGCCGCTGAGCACGGTGGTGAGACGAAGGTGCGGTGTTTCGTCGTTTCGTGTCGCCAACGCTTCGAGCAGAGTGGGCCATTGCGTGCAATAAGTGTTGCTAATATCAATTATATGAAGCTTTGTTTCGCCTTCGAAAGCGTCCATGATCGCAGCATTGCAAGCGACATGGCCGAAGGTAGTCCAAGGGCTCACTTCTTGAAATTTGAGTACTGTTTTTCTTGTCGAATCGAAAGAGCAAGTTTTTTCCGAAGCGGAGATCAGAGTCCGGTGGCACTTCTCGCCGGAGTCAGTCATGCGGCTGAACAAGGCTTGGAGGAAGTAATAAGCTAGCTTTTGATCCGTGTCACCGTAAGGCGATCCGAGCTCGTTGAGCATCCACATAAGTTGTTGGACTCGAACACTGTTCTTATTAGCAATAGCTCTTGCAGTTTCAAGAAGAATATCGGATGCCCATTTGTTGGTGCCGGAGATGGAAGAAGCAAATTCGAGGTTTAGGTCTCGGGCGGGGGAGAAAGAGAAATCGGCTGATTCAAAGGGGTGGTGGTGTGGTGGTGGTGGAGTGGTTGTGGTGGTGGTGGTGGAGAGTTGTTGGTGGTGGTGGTAAGGGTAGTAGTGCTTAGAAGAAGAAGAAGAGAAGCCATCTTCATCCATGAAATTGTTGAAGCATTCTTCTTCTTCTTGATGATGGTGGTTTTGTTGTCTAGAAGATCTAGAACTGCTTGACGTTCTGCTGGAGTTGAAGGACTGATCAGATTGAAGACTGACTAGTCTAAACAAAGTATCCATTTAACCCACATAAGCACTGTAAGCTCTTTGGACACAAAGTGATGGGTTATGTTGTCTGTGTTTTTAAGGGTGAATTGGGATAGAGAAAATGATTAAAAGGAGTGAGGATCTCCAAGTTGGATTTTAGCTAAACATAATTAATTAGAGAGAGAGAAGGGATTAAGTGAGTGAGGATTAAGTTTTCTTTTGATGTAATCGATGAGAGGAATTATATATGGCGGTGAAGGGAATTGTTTGCTTTCTTGTTCTTTGAGGCTGTCTTTTTAAAGTTGGGAGGGATTGATTGAAGCTTTTTCTCTTAAAACTTGGAAGGCGGAATGGACTAGGGGTGCGTAGAAATGGAATTCCGTCTGACAAAGGATGTAAAGAATGAGATAAAGAGGCCATGTAGATCGGGAGGTTATTTTGGTATATACCATTCAATTTGGCCCCCTTTATAAATACTCTATTTTAGTAGTTTTTTTAATTTTTTGCTTACTTTAATTTGATTAAAAAATCATGTTTAGAATGATAGTTGATCTTTTTTTTAGTAATTGATTTGATAATTGTAAGAAAAAAAAGTAAAATAATTATAATTTTAATGTGATATTTTATTTTATTAACTATTTTAACTATTTTTATTTTTATTAACTATTTTAACACAAATCAAATTACCTAAACAGGGGAAATGATTCAATGTTCTCGGAGTACCACGTGTCTGTACTCTTTAACCAATCATCATTCAATATGCCCCTTCATGTTCCTCATTTACCAAGCACAATACCCCCATCTACCATTCTCTCTACCAATCATAATATTATAGAACACCACGTGTCTATATTGTGAAATTATTAAATAATTACCTCTAAACAGAGACAATGTCCTCTTATTTCACAATGTCCTCTTATTTCTCATACATTAATATAAAAAGTGATGAATCATATTATTTCAATCAATAAAAAGTATAAAAATTATAGGAAAGTCCATTTTCTAGACTCTATATGTATAAGAGACAATTGACCAATAAAAATATATGAAATAGAAAGTTACCTTAGATATTTTAATAAATTGTCATATTATTGGATTTAAAAATGACTTTTGAATTTAAATAACACTACACTAAAAAATAAGTTGAGGCACCAAATATATTTGTTCCGAAGAAATTAAATAATTTGTCAAGAATATCTTATATTCTTAGGGTAATAGTAAGGTTTTAAAAAGTCGCCGTAATCGTTACGTAACGATTTTGATAGTTACCGCCACTCGTTACGGCCGTTTTTGCAGTGTGATTGAGATTCACAGGTGTGTCGGCCGTAGTGGCTGCCGTAGCGGTCATAACGGTGTTGTAATAGCCGTAACAGCCTATTACGCGCCGTTACATAACGGTTCCGAACTACTTCTTTCGAAAAAACACACACACACAAAAAAAAAAAACTGAAAATGGAGGAAGAGGGATAGAGAGAAGAGGGAAGATAAAGAGAGAATATGGAGGAGCAAGAGATAAAGAGAGAGAAGAGGACAGATGAAGAACATGTTATTGATTTGTTGAAACTGTAAGACCTATGCTATTCTATTCAGTTTCTATCACTCAACTATTTTGTTTGTGTGTGTCTATCTATATATTGTTTGATAATAATAATAATAATAATAATAATAATAATAATAAATAATGTAGTCATTATCTATTTGACTTGATTAAAATATGTATATATATATATATATATATATTTAGACTCTTATTTATTCTCTTACTTTTGTCATTATTTATCTTATATATAATAGTTAGTGATTGATTTTTTATATAATATAAAGTTATTAACTATTAAAATAAAATGTAAAAACTCAGTTTATAGTGATTTAAAAATGTGAAATATATTGAATTATACTTAAAAATTTATAAAAATTGATCAATATTTATTTTAAACCCAATAAATATGATCATGAAAAAAAAATATGCGTATCGGTAAATTTTTTTTAAATTATGCGAAAAATAAAAAAATTCACGGTTCCGGTTACCGCAACCGTTACGCTACGGCATTTGCACCCCGCAACCGCAACCGCAACCGCAACCGTTACGGCGACCGCAACCGCTTCTCAGAACCTTAGATAATAGTATTTAATAGTTTCAGAATATCATAAGATATTGGTTTCGTTTGGGAAGCCAAGTTTGAGGTTTTTTTGGCTATTTTAGTCACAAAAAATAAAATAAGTTTTTTAACCTAATAAAACAAAATATCACATCTAATCCATAATCATTACATTATTCCTATCACTAAAATGCCAAAAAAACTAAAAACTCTTTCCAAACAAAATTTTTTAACTCTAAATTAAAATAATTCAAAAATTCAAAAATTCAATCCCTTCCCAAACGAACCCATTGTTTGTGGGGGTTTCAACTAATGACGTAGTAGACACATTTTATGAGTGGGTTAATATAATAATAGTAACCCACTTTTTTTTAGAAAATTGGGAGACAAAAATGACACTAGTTTGTTTTGCAATTTTTCATTAATTGTGAACACCTTGTAAGTAATGTCACAAAATACTTTAGGAGTAATTAATTTTTTTTTTCTTATTTTCTTAAATATTTTTGGCTATATCCTAAAACACTTACTCTTACTAAATTATGAAAATTTTGAGATACAAAAATTTTAAGGCATAATCATCGACTATAAGTATTTGAGAACAAAAGAATATTGAAATTTAACACAGAAGATCCCATCTTAAAACACTTATAACAATTAGAATTTTTTTTTTTTATAAAAAAACCGAGTATCTCGGCTAGCGTTTTTAACAAACACCTCGTCTAATCTCAGGATCTTGAGCTGATTGACCAAGGAAAGATGCAGTGACCTGCTAATAATCTAGCTGGGAGTGGGAATCGAACTCAAGACGTCCGGGGTTTAAGGCTCGTCCCAAAATTTACTTCCCTCAACCAACTGGCCTACGCTTGCGGGTTACTTATAACTATTAGATAATATCAAAATTTTGAGATAAAAAATCAAGGCATAATTCGATGATTATAAGTGTTTTAAAACAAAAAATAAAACAATAGAGATTTGACTGAGAAGATCCTGTCCGAAAACACTCACAATTATGAGTTTTTTTCACATACAGGCATAAGTCAACAACTACAAGTGTATAAAATAAAAAAAATAAATTAAAAAAAAAACCGTTTTATTAAGATTTGAGACAACAAGTTTTCGGTACATAAAAAATTAGCGAACAAGGATCAACAAATGTATTAGTAGATTCAATAATGATATTCATAATTTTTACTCAAAATTTTATTGAAAAAATGAATGCATAATTCAAATTTCTTTTAGGTATACACTCTACTTTATCATAGTTGAACTTGGACCACGTATGATCATTTTAAGTAAAATTTTGAGTACAAATTGTTCTACAACACAAAGAAATCCATATAAATAGATAAAATTTTGTTAATAGAATCTAATTTTAATTTTTTTTATTCATTTATATATATTATGTATCCGATTATGCAATCACTTTCTTCACTCATAAACTTATCAATAATACTAGGAACTCATAAAAAGTACTAAAAAAATTACTTAGGAAAAATACTTCTATGAAATACAAGTATTCTAAGTGTGACTTACATCCCACTAATTTCAAGAAAAATTGCAAATTAGTGATTTTTTCACAAAATATTTACAAAGTCATGAATAAGTTTATAACTTTAATTATTAAAATTGAAAATTTTAATAATTAATTTGTAATTTTTTTTTAAACTTATAATAAACTACAATTTTGTCCTAATTTTAAATCTATACCATTCACTTCATTATCAAAATAAAATTCAAGACATAATTTCATAATATATAGGGGTGTTTTGACAACTAAATAAAAAGTTAATTTTTAACTTTTTATTCATTTTGAGTCATATCCTTTCTAATAATTTTTACCTACAAAAAAATAAAATAAATTTTAAAAATTAATTATTTACCAACTTTTTAAAACGCCACATAATTTTTTTGCGAACTTATTATTTAGTTAGTAGATTAGGCTTTATCTGCGAGAAAGAGGTGTTATGCGTGGGAGCAGGCGTGACAAATGGGTTTTGGGGAGAGTGGAGAGAGGAAGAGAGAGCAGAGTCAGAAAAGCTGCCGGCGTGAATGAAGATGATGATCAAACCCACCACCACCACTTTCCCAACACAACACACAAACCCATTCATTATTCATCACATTCTTTGCCTCCTAATAGCTCTCCAAACTCTGCCAAAAAAATTCCCCCACTTTTTGCCTTTTCTACACTAGCCTCCAAAAACCCCTTATATGTATGTGACATAGATAATAATGTTCTTCCGTAAGTGCTAAAGTGGACCCTTTCTCCAACATCTTGGGCCATGCTCATAGCCTCCTCATGTACACTATGGATTAGTTTGGGAAGTAGGTTGATTTTTTAATTATTTTGACTATTTTAATTTAGGTTAAAAAAATTTGGTTTGAGAATGATTTTTTGATTTTTTTTGTGAGAGAAGAGTGTAATGATTATTAATTGGATATAATGTTTTGTTTGTTGTGACTAAAATAACATATTTTATCTTTTGTGACTATTTTAGTCACAAACCATCTTCCCAAACGGACACATAAATATAAACGCACATAACCACCACCATGCTATATATTGGCCATTTCTCTAGAGTTTGTTTTAAGGATTTGAGGAGAGATCTAGAAAAAGAAAAAAAAAAAAAGTTAAGTAAAATATAAATAAAATATATCTACATTTGACCTATTTTACACATATTTTCTTTTTCTTTTCTCAAATTCCTTCTCAAATTTTCTAAACAAACACAACGTAAGAAAGACCGTTTTCAAAGACTCCATATGTTACATGTATGTATTATATGTCTCTCAAACCTTAATCCTATCATCCCAGTAATATCACTTTATAGTGATTGTTTAATTTATAATTTTTATTTTTATTTTGAGAGTTTATACCAAACTGTTTAGTATAGTTTTTGTTTATAATTTATTAAGTGAAAATAACTTAAATAAAGCTAAAAAAATTAATTATCTTAAAACTAAGAATGAGTGTTTTTAACTTTCACTTTTTAATTATTAATTATTAATTTATAATAAATTACACCAAGCAAGATCAAACCAGCCCTGTGTATACCTTCCTAGCTAAGTTGGTTCATACCAAAAACCATGTTTGATTTTTATGTGCATCTTTGGACGTGTACGGTATAGTCTCTTAGAGTTAGTTATAATATTTTATAAAACAGAAATAATTTGAATTAGTTAAAAATTAATTATTATTAAAAAATTAAAGAAAAAAGTGCTTTTGATTTCTATTTGTTAATTATCAAGTTTTGTGATTTGAAGTCGTGACCTAGATCGTATACTTGCTTGATCTTATTTCTTCTATTTGGGAGCCTCGATTCTAACTGTT